CCCTGTATGGTCCTGTTCCAGTGCTGCTTTCGGGTCCTGTCTGCTTCCTTACGTGGCAGAATGTAACATAAAATATAGGCATCCGTATATACTATGGTCACAGAAAAGCCTCTGTTATGGTTCGGGGCTGCATTTTAGACTAAACTATAAGACACCTGGTATTGACTGGTCCACTTACCAAGCCTAACGGCAGTTGTGAGAGGAAGAGGAAGTTGTGGGACATAAGGCGGCCATAGTAATTGTTAGTACGTGTATTAATATTGTGTAGTTTGGTCTCATTAAAGGTCACAGACTGAGTTATTGACCTTTTGTTAAAAAGTACAACAGGCTCAGATCTGAGGGCTCTCACCTATGACCCCGTGGCCCCTAACCCTGATCTTTTTATCCACACCCTGGTGTGAGTTTTATATTTTTATAGAGCAAAACACAAAAGTGTCACAGCCAAAGAATTCAACATCAGAACCCTTTTTTTTTTTTTAACTTTTTACTGTTCTATTTTCTGGTTGTAAAATATAACTATCTGTTTCTCACTCTCTCTCTCTCTCTCTTTCTCTCTGTCTCACACACACATGCACACACACACTCACACATCTGTAGAGCAGGTTCCAAATCAAACCCGTCTGCTACATGACAAGATTTGTTCTGCTTCAGAGGTATGTTCCATGTGTGTGTGTGTAAATATAGCGTATATATGCAGTAAATCTTCCACCTTGTCTGCTCCACATCTGTCACCGTTCGATCACTTCTACCACTGCCCGTGTTGTAGACGCAGTTTTTCTAAAACGTAAAATGAACTAAATGCGGTTTTTAATGGGGAATTACCCTTTAAATACTCACAGTGGATTATAATCAGTCATGGATGAAGTACACTAACTATGTACTTGAGTAAAAGTATGGATACCTTATGTCAAAATTACTTCAGTAAAAGTGTTAAAATAATCAATAATATATATTAAAAGTAAAAAGTACCGTGAGGAAATATGGTTCTAACGACCTTCATTATTTTCAAATCCGAACTCATCAGCTGATACTGGTGCGTTCGCTTTGAGAGGTGTCACTAAATGTAATGTAGTAAAAAGTTCAACATTTTCATTTTAAAATGTACTGGAGTCAAAGTGAAAAGTGTGATCGGATAGAAATACTTGAGTAAAGTACAGATACTTTATATATGTTACTTAAGTACAGGAATGAATTACATCTACTTCGTTACTGTTCACCACTGATTATAATAACTGTAGATTAAAAAAGAAATATAGAATAACTTAAAATTTCAATCGATCATCAAGGTCAGAGCTAATCGATCAATCGATCATCAAGGTCAGAGCTAATGCTAAATGAAAGACAACGTAGTAAAATGTAGTAAAAAGTGTAGCCTCCATGTTGTTAGCCAAAACTAGCCAAGCGATAACCAACAATCAGGTGATAAATAACTCATTTTTGTCACACAAAAATGACAAACAGTCCAGTCAGTATTGAAAAACAAACCCGTATGACCGGGGGGGAAAGTGGAGGACTGTATACAGAGTTGGTATTTTACTGAGTTTATATTAACAGTACAAAATTAAGTCTTACAAATATTATTGAAAACCAAATTAATTCACAAACCATGCAAGAACTTTGGCAGCGGTGCGGAGAAAAAAAAACAAAAAAAAACCTCCCAGACTCAGTACATATAACAGCAAAGATGTAGGGAACAGATGGCTAAAAAAAATATATTAAATAAATAAAATAAATCTGCTGAAACCATGGCAAAATAAGCCTAGGCTTGTAACCTAAACCAACCCTCCACTGCTAATGACGACCGATGACTAATTACTAGATAAAAAATAAAAAAAAATCTCCCAGTCTTTGTTTGTGTGCGAAGAAACTGTTAAACTCCGTCTGTCATCACAAAGGCTTCAGATTAACAAGCGCGCACCTAATAGGAAGCAGGAAGGAAGGGCTTCTCAACACATTTACACGGCAGCGGAGGAATAACCACTGTGTGAATTCCTGCTTCCCACTGGTCACTGAGAGATGGCCGCATGCTCCGCAGGAAGTAGGGGGAACGGTGGGGGGGGGGGTGGACGGGG